CGCCCCCCCCCCCCGCCCCCCCCCGCCCCCCCCGCCGTCACGCCAGGCAGGCCTCACCTCGCAGGGCCCCACGAAGAGGATCTTGGCCTTCAGCATCGCGGTCCGCCGCGGGGTAGGCCGCCAGAGACCACTCCGACGCTGCGCTAGCCCGCGCGTCGTCAGGGCCGCCACAGGCCGCCACGCTGATTGGCTGTCCTCGTTTCCATGGCGACGGAGGGAGCGGACCGCAGGGGCCGACGGGATTCCGCCAATTCCAAAGGCGAGCGGCGGAAAGTGGGCGTGCAAATGTCTCAACGAGGGGAAGAGGGAGTCCGCTGGTTCTGGGCTGTAATCGAGGCTCTGGGCCCAGAGGCACAGAGCGCGCGAGCTCGACTTCTGTTTGTGAAAATGTAAGTAAGACTCCTGGAGGGACGGGACTGCCGGTCCCCGATCTCCTTTACTTCTCCCATAACCTGAGCATTCAAACTGCCCGTGTACCCGGTGAGCTGGGTTTGGAACCAGGCCTCTGTCTCCCTTGTCACTCTGGCATGGTGCTGTCCACATTAGGAACGGATTTATCAATGCCCTGGCCCAACTTAGAAAATGTCAGGAAAAAAGGAGCCTCTTATCTCTGTGCAGGGTATTCATGGGTATTCACCACTCACTATCATTTGGGTGATCTGAGAAACCAAAGGGTTGATGCACTGACATTGTTTGTTTAGTCAGTGCAGATGTCTGGACACTGAATTCACCCAAATTCACTCATTAGGACAGCCTTAAATTACAATTCTGGATTAAAACACGGAATTAAGTGCCTATGTGCCTAGAGTGCCAATACAAAATTGGTAGTATAGGATGAGCCGGTGGCAGCGGTTAAGGTGCTGGATTCCCACAGGGCCTGCTTTATTTCAGGCACTTTTCTAGGTACTGGGATTATGCTTGATACCTTTTGAAGCTTTCATCCCATTAAGTAAACTAGTAAATAAAACAATAGGGACCAGCAGATGGCATAATGGTTATGTTGCTGGACTCCCACATAGTAGACTGCGGTTCGAGTCCCAGACCTGGCAGCTTAAACCTCATGCTGGGTGCATGGGCGTGTCCAAGATCCGGAGAGGAGAATGGGGGAGAAGTAATTGTGGCATAGCCATTCCCCCTGGGGGGAAGGTGTGATTTCTCACCTTCTGTTCTGTTTTTGTCTCTCCAGTGAGCACACACATCCAATAGCAAAAATCTCTCTCAAAAAATAAAATAAAATAAAACAATAAACATTATTTCACGGTTTCTGTGAGTCAGAAAGCTGAGCATGACCTAGTAGTACTTCTGGCTTAGGGATCCTCACACAGCTGCAATGAAGGTGCTGGCTCAGGTTACAGTCATTCCAAGGTCTGACTAGGGATTTTTTTGTTTGGACCACATTGGTTTGATTTTTGGCAGGACTGTTTGTGTGGAATGTTGATCTATGGGCCTCAGCTCTCTGCAGGCTGTTAGTCAGAGTCTGCCTTCACATCCTTGCTATATGGCCTCTCCATGGCAGCTCCTAATATGGCAGCTAGTGTCCTTTGGAGTGAGCAAGTGAGGAAAGAAGAGAGGACGGGCCAGACAGCATGGAAGCTATAATTTGTTTGTAACCTAATATTACAAGTGACATCCCTGGGCTGGCAGGTGGTGTGGTGGTTGAGGCGCTGGACTCCCACATGGCCAACTGCGGTTTGAGTCCTAGACCTGGTGGCTTGCTTTCTCATTTTCTCTCTCTGGTCAAATTAAAAAATAATAATTGGAGCTAGCAGACTACATAATGGGCACATCACTGGACTCCCACCATGGTTTTTTTTTTTTTTTTTTTTTTTTAGTGTATTTTACACTTCGGGCACTATAGGGCGCCTGCGCTTGCCAGAGAGACAGAAAGCGAGAAAACACCCCCGAGAGGGGATGGTCATGCCGCAATCCCTTCTCCTCCATTCTCCTCTCGGGATCTCGGGATCGCATGCACATGCACCTGGCGTGAGTTTTAAGCCACCGGGTCTGGGACGTGAACCGCGGTCGACTACGTGGGAGTCCAGCGACATAGCCATTACGCTAACTGCTGGTTCCCTCCCACCATGGTTTAAGTTCCAGACCTGGTAGCTTAAAATTCACACTGGACACATGTGGGTGCATGCCCAAGATCCCAAAAGGAGAATGGAGAAGAAGGGGTTGTGGCATGGCCATCCCCCCTGGGGGTGATTTCTTGCTTTCTGTCTCTCTGTCTCTCCAGTGAGCATACGTGCCCAAAACCAAAAATCTCTAAAAAAACCCCAAAAGATACAAAAAAACAAACCCAAAAACAATAATAATAAATAAAAACTAAATAATTCTTTTTTAAAAAAAGAGGTGACATCCCATCACTTTTTCTGTATTCTCTTCCTTTGAAAGGAATCATTAGGCCAAGGCCATGCTCAAGGGGAAGAGGTTACATAAGAGTGTGATTACCTGATGTGGATATCTTTGGGGATCATCTTGGAGGCGGCCTGTGACAGGAAAAGATGTGAGGTGCTGATTCTAAAGCAATATCAGTATAAAAATAGCTTTTTCATATGGGAGAAAGAAAGGAAGGAAGAAAGGAAGGAAGGAAGGAAAAGGGGTGTGAGAAAGAAAGAAAAAAAGAAAGAGGCAAAGGAAGGGCTGTATTTCTGCAAAGGTATAGTTTTATTTTTACCTGTCCTTAGGTTTTATCAGATTTTAGTCTGTGACTTGATATCTTTCATCAGTTTTAGAAGAATCTCAACCATCAGTACTTCAAATATAGCCCTGTCCCATTCTTTCGCTTCTCATTTGGAAACTCTCACTAACCATATGTTAAAATTTTTAACTCTCCTTTTTATCTTTTATTCTGTCTTCTGATTTTTTGCATCTTTTTTTTTTTTAACTCTTTATGTTACAGTCTGGATATTTTCCTCTGACCTATCTTCTTGCTACTAATTCTCTCTTCAGCTTTTCCGATTTCCTGTTAAACCCGTCTATTTAGTTCTGAATGCTGTCTTTTGTATTTTTCCAGTTACAACAGTTCTATCTTCCTTATTTATGATCAAATAGATATAAATGTGAATATAAATATATAAATGATCTATCTTCCTGTCTTATGATCACTTAGATATAAATGTGAATATAAATATATAAATAAAAATAAATATATGCTGTTGGGAGTTCTGCTGAAATTCTCAATCTCTTTTCATTGCCAGAGGATGTGTACACTTGCCAGAGAGAGATGAAGGAAAAAGAGAGAAGGAGAAAGCACCCCGAGGTGGGATGTGGTCACTCCTCAATTCTTTCTCCTCCTTTTCTCCATCCTGTCAGGATTTGGGGCATGCAGACACATGCTCTCAGCATGTTTTTTCAAGCCCCTGGAGCTGGGATGTGAACCATGGCTGGCCATGTGCAGTCTAGCTCCTTTAATGAGTAGGCTATGGGTCTGGCCCTCAGTCTTATCTTTTACCTCCTTTAGTGTAGTAAGTGTATTTATTTTTAATTTTTTCTTTGATAACTCAATAACCTGAGTCCTTCTTGTTTTTTTTTTTCCTGATATTTATTGTGCATGTTTTTTCTTTATTTTTTACATGTCTTATTTTACAATTTGTATTTATTTCCTTAATTAAAGTTTTTTTATTTCTTCCATGAGAGAGACACACACACTTTTTCTTTATTTTTTACATGTCTTATTTTACAATTTGTATTTATTTCCTTAATTAAAGTTTTTTTATTTCTTCCATGAGAGAGACACACACACAGAGAAACATGCACCCCTAACAGGATTTTCACACTGTAATCCTGCCCTAGCCTCAGGTAGCCAGGATCACGGGCGCAGGGTGATGTTGGCATGTAAACTCAGGGCCTTCCCCGGTGGCTTCAGGATTGCTCCCGTTGTGCCACCATGGCTGGCCATGATTTTTTTTTGAAATTCTGTGCTAATGTGCTAGATGTGGTCAGAACAAAATTATATAAATGACGTATGGCTCGGGCTGATGTCTCTTCCTCCAGAAAGAATCTATGTTTCCTTCTCTTAGATATTTTAGGGCACTAGCAATCTTGAATCAGCTTTACACAGACATAGGAACTGTGAAGATATTAATCTCAGCCACAGTCCCTACCCGACCCATGGTAGGAGGGTTGATCTAAATTACTTCTGTGAATTCCTTACTTTTTGGCACCATTACGTGTTCCCAGGCAGTTGTTTTATTAGTATTGCTTCATAGCCATCGTATATTATATACATTCTTTTGTATGTATTAAAAAAATTAAAAGTTTCAGAAGTCCAAGGAACCTTGAAAAAGTCATTTGTTCTCGTGCCTGGAAAAATTGGGGGGATTTCCCCCCCCTCCATTTTAGAATGAAATATACTCTTAGGTCTCTGGCTTAGGCTTTAGGGGATCCTGGGTCCCAGAGATGGATCTG